TTGCTCTCTAGACACTTAAATGGAGAGCATGCAGGGTTAGACATGGTAATATTGTCTCATCAGCCTCTGCCAGACTTCTGACCAGGAGAGAACAGGGTGGTAGGAACTGCTCAGCAGCTCGGGCACCATGAGGGTATGACCCGAGCTTGAATGTGGCCAGGATTGTGTGTCAAGTGGGGTAAGGCATCAAGCTTGTGACTTCCAAGTAGTGTTTATAGACAAAGTCATGGAGAGGCAGAAAGAGCCTCACCACGGGCTCTTTCAAGAGACCTGGGTCTGCGTCCTGGCGCTGGTGCCTCTGTGCGTGACTCTGGATTTGACCTTTGCCAACTCTGGACTTCCACCTCCCACCTGCATGATGAGGGGAGGGAGAGTGAGCTCCCTAGGGGCTTCCTGCTCTGTCCTCACGGATGCTGAGACTGTATCTACGTGAGGCATGTTAAATGAGTTTAGTGGGCACCGACTTGGCACAAGCAGGCTGCCTAATGGGGGAGGGACCTGCGTGGAGTCCTGGGAACCAGCCCTCCTGGGGGAGGCAGGGAAGTGTGGCTGGTGGGATCTGGCTATTTTCACGGCGTCTGCTCCTGGGGCTGTGCTGGGAGGAGACGCCAGTGCACCAAACCCTGTTTCTGTTCCTACAGGTTTGTTGTCACTGTTCTTCAGATCGCATGGTGTCCCCATGGGCAGGTAAGTCCCTGCTGACCTGTGTTTAGGGTGGCCAGTGCCATCACCATGGCCAACTTGCTGTGTGACCTTGGACAAGCCTCTGTCACTCTCTGGGCCTCAGCTTCCTCACATGTGCAAAAGGGGAGTTGGAGCTGTCGTGATGCTTCTATTTGTACAGCACCTTATGTTCATCAAGGTGCTCATTCACAGACGGATGTTCTCTCATTCGATCCTCACAGCAGCCCTGCAAGGTGGGGAATGTCCAGCAAACNACGGATGTTCTCTCATTCGATCCTCACAGCAGCCCTGCAAGGTGGGGAATGTCCAGCAAACCTATTTTTCAGGTGAGGAAACTGAGGCCCAAGTATATTAAGTAACTTATAGGAAGCAGGAAAGTTGGGAGTTGAGGTCAGGTTTGGCTGAAGCCCATTTCTTTCCATTCCATGTAGCCCCTGTTTCTTATTCTATAAAACGGGAGACTCGGTCTTGGAAGATGAACCCTTCCAACTTTGCCATGCATTGTCCTGAGTTGGTGGAAACAGGTTTCTCTCTCTTAATCTTGGACCCCAGGAAAAGGAGCAAGATGAAAGAGGATGTCTTGCTGCACTAGAAGCGCTAGCAGGCAGGCAGGGGGAGCCAAGGGAGGCCACCTGGGTTAGGGGCACACCAGAGCTCGTGGTGAATGAGGGGCAAGGGCAGGATCTTACTTCAGAGTCACTAATGTTAAGCCCTGCTGTGCACTGGGCACAGTCCCGGGGGGAACCTGACTTACCAGTTAAAGAATCATGGGAGTGGAATCCAGACTAAGGAAATAAGATTTAGTCTCATGTTTTTAAAAGTATTCACCAAAACATTATTTATAAAAATGACACATTGGAAAGAGTCTAAAATGTCAAATATTAGGGGAAAGTTTAAATAAAGTTAGATTCATCCCAGTAACGCGCTGTGCTCTGTAACGCAATGGGTAGCACACTGGATTTCCAATAATGCACTGTGATGCGGTATTAAAACTGATGTTTGTAAATGATTTATAACCACGCGGGAAAATGAGAATAATATATGCAGACCCGTATATGAGGTACAATCTCAGTTTATAATGCACGTACAGTAGTCCCCCTTATCCACAAGGGATGCACTTCAAGACCCTCAGTGCATGCCTGAAACTGCAGATAGTATCTAACCCTATATATACACGTTTTTTCCTATACATGTATACCTATGATAATGTCTAATTTATAAATTACTCGCAGTAAGAGATTAACAATAACTAATAATGAAATAGAACAATTATAACATATAGTGTAATAAAAGTTATGTGAATGTGGTCTCTCTCTCTCTCAAAATATCTTATGGTGCTTTGCTCCTTCTTCTTGTGCTGATGTGAGATGAAAACAGAGACAGCTAAGTGGCTAATGGACGGGGAGCATATTCAGCGTGGACACGCTGGACAAAGGGATGATTCGTGTCCTGAGTGGGACAGAGCAGGATGGCATGAGATTTTATTATGCTGCTCAGCTTAAAACTTGCTGTTTGTTTTTGGAACTTTCTATTTAATATTTTCATATTGCAGTTGATCACAGGTAACTGAAACTGTAGAAAGCAAAACCGCAGCTGGGGGGACTACTGTAGATATACAGAGGTAGATAGAGATTTAGGTTTAGATGTAGAGGAAAGACACTGAAATATTGACGGCGGTATGTCTAAGCCACAAGCACACGCTGGAGAGGAGGATGAAGGGAAGACACGAGCCCCCACAACTCAGCGTGTCTCTATCCTGCACCCTAACATCACAACATCAACCCCCAATTTTCTTTGGGGGAAATAGGAACCTGGAAATGTAATAAAACAAGAAACCAACCAGCAAATTGTAAAAGATAAAACAATAGTATTTGCCTTAAAACAGTGAAAAAAACATGTTTTTTCACCAAAAGGAAACTAAAAGCCCCAAAATCTATGTGCACCTTCTTCTTGTGCTGATGTGAGATGAAAACAGAGACAGCTAAGTGGCTAATGGACGGGGAGCATATTCAGCGTGGACACGCTGGACAAAGGGATGATTCGTGTCCTGAGTGGGACAGAGCAGGATGGCATGAGATTTTATTATGCTGCTCAGCTTAAAACTTGCTGTTTGTTTTTGGAACTTTCTATTTAATATTTTCATATTGCAGTTGATCACAGGTAACTGAAACTGTAGAAAGCAAAACCGCAGCTGGGGGGACTACTGTAGATATACAGACGTAGATAGAGATTTAGGTTTAGATGTAGAGCAAAGACACTGAAATATTGACGGCGGTATGTCTAAGCCACAAGCACACGCTGGAGAGGAGGATGAAGGGAAGACACGAGCCCCCACAACTCAGCGTGTCTCTATCCTGCACCCTAACATCACAACATCAACCCCCAATTTTCTTTGGGGGAAATAGGAACCTGGAAATGTAATAAAACAAGAAACCAACCAGCAAATTGTAAAAGATAAAACAATAGTATTTGCCTTAAAACAGTGAAAAAAACATGTTTTTTCACCAAAAGGAAACTAAAAGCCCCAAAATCTATGTGCACCATCTTGAGAGACCTGTTTCTCTTCCATCAGCTTGTGTTGCTACCAACCGTATGACGATTATGGGTTATTTCTTCTTCTCTCTTTCCCTCCCTCCCTCCTTTCCTTCCTTCCTTCCTTCCTTCCTCTTTCTGTTTCTGTTTCTCTCCCTCCCTGCCTCCTCCCATCTATCTACCTCTGTTTGTCTCTCTCATATTTTCCAAAAGGAGCATTTTATTTCCTCATCAGAAAAAAAAAGCCATCAAAACTGTTTCTATAAAACAGAATGGGGGTGCTAAGACTTAAATCCAGGCTGTGGGGCTGGGGAGCAGCGATTGGCTACTGACTTCTACACTCCGGGAGAGTGGGCCCTGGTGGGAGCGGGCTGGGGAGTCAGAATCCTGTCCACAGTTTCACCTGGTGGCCTGGCCTTGCCCCGCAAGAGCTCGGGCCCCATCGTCTGCTCCTGTTGCAGTTTCTGGGGAGATACGAGAGCCTCGTGTTCTACTGGCCCTCCTTGCTGTGCCTCATGTTCCTGCTGGGCCGCTTCCTGCACATGTTTGTCAAGGCTCTGAGAGTCCACTTGGGCTGGGAGCTCCAGGCGGTGAGTACTAAGCATATGCACCGTGTGTCCTGACGGGTTCGACTCTCACAACAGCCTGGGAGGTAGGTACTGTGACTACTTCTCACATTCTGGATTCAGAAGCATGGACCCAGAGAGGGGAGTTGAGTTGTCTAAGGTCACCCAGCTGATCTGTAGTAGAATTAGAAGTGGAACCCACATAGTTTAGTTGTGGAACCTCTCTTAGCCACGGTTATACACAGCCTCTTGCTCGGGACGCATGGCTCCAGCTCCGAGGTCAGGCTAGGGTCAGGAGAGGTCTTTTTCTCTCCCCCGCAACTCACTGTTAAATCAGAACTTGGGGCCTCCTGAACTTATGCCACCGGGGCTCACTTGCCACAGCTTTGGTCCCTCCATCACCAGAGTTTGAAAGAGCTGGGAATAGTTTGTTTTATTGACCTTGAATTTTTCTTGTTCTTTGGTTATATTTTCAAAATGAGTATGTGACAGTCAGGACAAGATAGGTTATGCTGTAATAACAAGCCAGCCCCCAAATCTCAGTGGCTTAAAACAATAGGGTGTATTTCTCACTATTGCTACATGCCTATCACGGGTGTGCTGGGGGCTTTCTCCCTGTTCTTCTCACTCTGCAACCCAGACTATGGAGCAGCCACCACCAGGAACATTACTGATTAGCACAGTAGTAATGTACGTGCCAGCTTTAAAAGCTTTCCCCGTGATGCCACCTCCATCCAGACTTTATTGAACAAAGCCTTTATTTGACCCACACACCTTCACTTGAGTGGGAAGGTACAATCCTATCCTGAAGGAAAGGGAACCACTATGTTTATGAATAGCCACAAGGCTGGAATCTGGGGATAATGTGCCATATCGCTGCTTAAAAACAAAACAAGAAAATAACACTGAGCTGTTCCAGTTAATAGGCATAGCTTCTTAACTTTTCAATTTGATATGGAAATTAAGTCTTCCTCTATTTCTCCCAATTACAAGAGCTGATGAGGTGCTTCTCATAAAATACAAAAGTTTATATACATACTTTTTTCTTTATGGAAAAAGAGGCCATTTCTGATGCCTTTACTAGAAACGGTTAGAAAAAAGAAAGGTTATCTTCATTATGATGGTCACAGCTATCACTTATTGAGTGTTTGTTCTGGGCAGGCATTGTACAAGTGCTTTGCAGATATTATCTTATCTAATCCTCACGACAGCCTTCTGGAAGCTGCTATTATTTTCTCTGTTTACTAGTGAGGGGCCTGAGAGGTAGAGATATAACTTGCCTGGGGCACACAGCTACTAAGTAGCCAGTCAGGATTCTCACCAGATCTTTTGGATTCTACTCAAGTTCTAGATATAT